TTCGTTATGTACAAACTTAGTGTAGGATCTTTGAGTATGGCTCTGAGATCTTACAGAAATAAATAATTGTTGTGTAGTTAGTCTAACAATCACTTTACTGTGAAAAATGTACAGGTGGATGCATAAGTAGGTTTTTATGAGATTTTAGACCAACATATGAAAAAATTGTAAGATATGATACAAAATAATCAGAAGAGACCTCAATTATATTTATTTTGTCTCTTAAGGCTCAAAGCCCTCTCCCTCCTAATGAAAAACACTGGTTAAGACTTCAAGAACTTCATGACTGTCAGTGCAATCAATCCCAGCGTTTAAAATGAAATTGATTATATTGACAGCTTAAAATACGTATTCAGCATAAGATCATTTATATCAAACACAGCTTTTTGATAACTCATAACTGCTTGAACAGGAAATAAGAGCTATTGATTGAAAATAGAAGGACATTATGTCTGGACTGTTTTGTTTAGAGATTTTTTTTGTTAAATTTTTGCAGTAATGTTTTTGAATTCTGTGCAGAACAAGTATTTGTCTGTTGCTTAATGCCATGATTTATTTTCTTTTTATCTTATGGAAAAAAAAAAGAATATAAATTCTTGAGTTATTTCAGTTGATTTCGTTTTAATTTTCATAGGTGTAAGATCTCTGTGAAATAGTTCACCATTTACCAGGTATTTTCTATGTCCAAAAATTGAGTAAATATTTAGTTACCCTTTCAAAACTATTCTTCTGGTATCATCTCTGTGTTAGATTGTTTGGAAGACAAATACTGAGTTTTAGGATTTGACTAATTAACCAAGATCTGCAATTTACTTGAATTACAGACTTTTTTTTTAGAGTTAAAAGTAGTAGCTTGATTGTAGACCAATGGAGTGATAATCTGAAACAGTAGCTCTTTCTGAAATAGCGTGTATTTACTGGTATTTTGTGGAAGAAAAGAAAAAACCAAACTTGTGGGATTATCTTGCCTCCCCCCACCCCAGACAGATCAGATCAGCTTTAAAGGTTGGTTCGGTTTTTTTATTCAGAACAGTGAGGCAAAAAAAGGTAAGAAACCTGGGAGTATGTCTTGTATAGTTGAGAGCATATCGATTGAAATTGGGGCAGTAAATACAAAGAAATTAACAGTAATGTGTCTTCAATAGTTATTGAAAAACTGGAGGACATGCTTGAATAAGGTACTTCAGAAAAATGAGTGCTTTTGTCAGTAATGATGTTCTTTTTTTAGTCTTTTCCATAGTGTCTCATTTGTGTAACTTCTCAGAGCTCTCAGTTAGCAGTCAGTACTGAACCAAAACTTTTCTCAGAACACTTCAGGAAAAGTTAGTGATCGGTGTCCCCAGACGAGAGAGGTGGGAAAAGTGGAGCATTCAAACAAATGGTCTGACTTGCTTTACTAAAGAAGAAACTTGGTTATTTTCTGGTTGATTTCAGTAAGCTTTCATTTCCATTGTGAGGTCCAGACTGGGCACTTCCCGTTGCCATTGGCACCAAATTCCAGTTACGGATCTCGGTCTGAGAAAAGTATCCAAGGCTTCAGTGAGTCAGAGACAAATGGCCTTGACCTTGCCAACAGGTGTCAGAATAAAAGGGAAAAAGAGCTGTGCAAGTTCCGCTTCTTGTATCCTGTCTGCTTGATTCTCCAGTTCTCCCTCCATCTGCGCTATAGGGCTAGATTTAGGGTTTCGTGATTAAATCATACTTCATGAGCCACAGGCCAGTCCTGTTACTAACTCACGAGTTAGCAGAGAGAAACTAAAGTGTTGTCTTGCAGTGTGATACTTCCTAATGTGTGATAACTGCTAATCTGCACAGCTGTATACTGCCCTAAATACAGAAGAGTTCCTCTTTTGGCTGAATTAACAAGTTATTTTTAAAAGGATGTTACGAAAGTAAGCATACTGCCTTCTCTTCAACCTCTGCCCCTTATTATTGCCCAATGAAAGTTTCTGTTCTCTATTTGTTGCTTGGTGGCTCTTCATAATCTCTCCTAACCATGAAGCTCAGTGGGGTATGTGTTCATTATTCTTGTTCCAACTGGCTTCTCCACAAATTCTAGAACAATCACAGGTGACCTTCAAAATAAATGACATCTCTTGTTCAACAGTCTTGTGGGAAAGTACATCCAAAAAGCTACCAATTAAAGGATTGGTACGGTTGCTTGTGCAACATTTATCTATCCTTGTTGTACTTATGCAAATCGAAACATTATAATTTATGATCTGGCACTGTCTTTTCTCTGTAGAACCTCTGCCTCGTGCAGTGATTGATGCTTATGGAAGGAATGGCCTTACCGATAGTTACTTGTTTGTGTTCATTATTTCCTCTGCCCCCCCTCTCCGTTTTTCACAGAGTAGCTTCCAAATTTGAATTTAGAGCTGTTCAACTTCCAGTGGTCCTTCCATATGTTTCCTTTATAACAAAGTGTGAGAATGTGGATAAAAAATAGTACTAGTAAGAGTAATATAAAGGAGAATTAAGTGAGCTGGCCAAGCTGAGAAAGGCAGAAGTTCTGTGAAATAGTGTAAAGATTTGTCAGCCTTCAAAGAGGTAGATCACAAGATTTGAAACCAGCTTACTGTGTTTGCTTTTTGGTGTGACTCTTGTACCTGCATCTGTTCCTGGGGATAGATTTATGGCTTTTCATAATGTGTAAACAGATTACTTCCATGATGTGCACTTACACAATTTCTCATTTTGCTCTCTTTATTAAAACGGCAGGATATGAATTTAAATCCTAGGTCATGTGCAGAGTACTATTTTTTAATATTTTTTTAATTATGAGTTTAACAATCTCTTTGTGATCCCTTTGGAGCATCATTCATGTCACAAATGACATGAGTCTCATCATTCTCCCTGCTTTGTAATTTGCACAGGGAATTTTAAATTTTTTAAATTTTTTTTTTTTTTGCCAGAACTCTGTCTGTTCCTTAAATGCCATTCTCTACTAGGTGAGGCTGGACAATATTAAACTGGTGTAATTTATCTGGTTTGGCACTTTCTGCTTCTGCAGCATTTTGAATTAGAATGGATGAGTGTTTGTGTGTATGTATGTAAAAAAGCAATAAAAGTCAGTATGTTAGCGGTTAGTACCTGTTTGAAAGGAAGAAGACATTAGTGGTCTTTTTTTAAAGTAGAAGTAGTATAATTATACATTATATAATAATAAAGTAGACGTAGTACTGTTATACATTATGTGAAATTGTGCCTGAGTCAAACTGTGCCTTCATTATTAAGGTGTTAGTTACCTGCTCTGTACTATATCATCACCTCTTAGGCTGGCGATATTTTCTTTTGCTACTTTAGTTCAGGTGTGTGTCTGCTTTTGTTTGTGAGTAGATAATCCATAGCAGAGAGACTTTAGCAGCGGCTGGTCATTGAGGAGAACAATGCGGTTTTCTAAGTAACCCATTTCTCTAAAATTATATATATGGCTTTGTAGTATTTTAAATATTACCTTAGTGTGGAAGGCAATTTCTGCTTTAGAGTTCTGCGAGGGTTTACAAATTATTCAATTTCTCTGTCATTCTGGCAGTTGGAAGGTGGAAGTGCATGCAGCCCCATTCCTCAACAAAAACTAAACACTAACCTGATTTGCTGAGGCTCCATCTAAGCAGACAGGGAGAGGGGATTCTGGTCTGTTCTGGCGGGTCCGGTCTGAAATCAGCAGAGCTCATGGGCAGGGCATCTCCCACCCTCCAGTCCCAGAGATGTGGGGCGAGGGGGCATAGCCAAGGGCAGGAAGGGAGATCATTCTTCTTGGCAGCACCAAGCTGGAGATTGGCTTGGCCCGTCTCATCAAGTTGCACTCTAATTTAGGTGCTCTGAACCACCTCTGGAAGAGCCTACTTAGGTCTGAATTATGCTGGAAGCTTAAGGAGGCTGCCCATCTAAATTATGTACCTAAAGTTAGACTCAGTAAGTACTCCCCACTGATAAGGAGGCTGCCCATCTAAATTATGTACCTAAAGTTAGACTCAGTAAGTACTCCCCACTGATTTTAATAAACTGATGCAGACATTTTAAACTGGTGATTTATGTAGTTGGATGGGGTGAGTGTTGGCTTGCAGCTTGATATTCATTGTGAGTTTGAACGTTAGTATAATGTTAAAATATCTAAAATGTCCTGCTTTAATATGAGAGGGATTTTTCAGAATTAGTGGCCTTTCTGTTTTGCTCTTTAGTTCCAAATTTTTGGAAGCAAAAATACACTCTGGGAATTTACCTAAAAATCCCCTGAGATAATCTTCTGTGGTTTTGGGGGCAAATAGTAGCTTTAAAGCTTATGTAAATGTAGTCTATCTTACCAAATGCTACTTGAACTTAAGGATAACAAGTAACTTGGTAAACATGTTAGAACTTGTTCTTTTATTCCAGACATAAGCACCACATATAAACTGTATTTAAAATGTTTCAAAACCACTTTTTAAAGAGTTAATAACTATTAATGGTTTTCTACATCTGCATTTTAGGGGCATGTTAATTTGTGGCTTCTGGTTTGCCCACCTCATTTACTACTTCAGTTAAGCTGTCGATAATAGACCAAATGTAAATTGGGTTGTTTGATTTCAGCATTGCATTAATAATTGTCATTTTACTTTGATCAGTTTTTTAAATAAGATTTAACAATTTTAAAGTTTTGAGTTGTGTTTACATTGCTATGGTTGTAAATCCTACGTTGCCCTGTTTTCGAGTAGACATCAGCATCACACGCCTCGTCTGCATGAGGTAAAAGTCGGGTATTGTTAATTTGGGCAGTATGGTAGTTTGATGCTGGATCTGTGGCTGAAGGAATTTTGTGACAGTTGGGGGGAAAAACCTGCAAATGATCTAGTGCTTAAGTTGGGCTACAGAGGAACTTGTGGCAGCATGTACTCTTACCTGTATTACGCTGTATGTAGCATGTATATGTATCAGCAAATGATGTAGCTATGTATCACAGATCTGATGGCCCCATTTAATCATTGCTTTAATTACTCTGATGGATTATATCTTCACAGGCACAGCTAGTTGATCTGAAGTCTGAACTGACAGAAACACAGGCAGAGAAAACAGTATTGGAAAAGGAAGTGCATGATCAGCTTTTGCAACTCCATGCCGTTCAGCTTCAGCTACATGCCAAAACTGGTCAGAGTGTTGATTCTGGTGCTATTAAGGCAAAACTGGTGAGTATGGCAGCTTGAATGGAAGATTATATTATACTTTTCCTTTTCCTGGCTGAAGTTCTTCCTTGGAAGGTGTGAATAAGCTGGATTACAAATCTTCACATTAAAAATGTTAGAGTGTGTTAACTTTTTCTTTTTTACGTAACATTTATGGTTTGTTAGCAACCATTAAAAGTAACATAAATAAAAACAGAATAATGAATAAGAATTTAAGAAGCTGTTTTTACATAAATCATTTTTTAGTAGTTTCTTAAAGTAAAATAAAATATTTTGGTGGTTTATAAAGCTTTTCTGAAGACAGAAGTTGCGTAAGATACTAGCTTCCAATGTGCAAATGCAACCAAATCTTCATGTATCTTTAAAAAAGCCTTAAGTGAGGTGAGTATTGTTTTTATTGTAGTTACAGTCTGTGAGAGTAAGAATGGGATTGTTTTGCCATACAGAGAGTAGATGGCATCCAGTCATCTCTCTGTTGTCATTCTTTCTCTTTAAGAATGCTGCAGGTGCATCTATGGGGCTGTCCATTGCTACATGCAGCAGACTGTCGTAAAAGGACCAATAAACCACCGATAATTTTGTACAACATGTTTTTTAGAGACTCAAACCTTTATAAAGCCCACCAAAAGTTAACAATAGTTGATCTGTGCAGTTAGTTGATGTTGACTGATAACCAGAGTGTAGTCTGCCTCGTTACTATCCACAGCACAGATTCAGGCTCTAATACTAAGACTTTGTAAATGAGAAAAGTGAAGTAGTGTGTAGATTGTGGTTTCTAACTGTTGGCAAAAATATGAGTCTAGCTCTCTGGCTGTTTTTAAAGTTGTCACAGGTTGGTTGCAAATACTAGTCGCAGCATGTGTGGAACAGTAGATCAGTCTCCTGTGCTATTTTGTCCTGTTAATTAACGTGTAATAAAACACAGTAATAGACTATAAGGTTTAAAGTGTATCTAGGCTAATCATTGAGTAACAGGTGTAACCCAAATTCTTCCTATTTCAGATCCAAAAGCTATAATTGATTTAGAGCTACGTTCCTAGCTCTGCATACTTGAATATTCAGTATGAGTAACATTTTCTGGATTGTCTGCACATAATTTACTCTGTATTGAATTATATCTTAAGCATGGTGAAGTTTCTTTAGAGCTGTTAATAATTTGTAAATAAGCTTTAGTTAAATATCACCAGCATTTTAGAAGTGTTAGGCTGCACGTTTATGTGTAGCAAATTTTTTAAGCCAGCACATCACTGTGAGTGATTTCGGTCCCTAAATTTTATGAGTAAGGCTTAACTTCTGAGTGACATAGAGAGTAGTACTTTTAACCTTTTTGTTTCTCCTTACCTTGTTTATAAACAATTTCTAAAGATATATTAAGTCTCCATGCTATTGACAGCAGTGTTTTGCCCACAGTTGACAATAAATGTGTTTTACTTACATTGTTTCAGATTTTTCTGTGCTGAAATTGAATTTTATTAACAGCCTAGACTGGTATTCTCTCCTTAATTCCATTTAGTTCGTCCTTTTTTGTAGACATCAGGGCTAATCTTTTGAGTTTGCTTTACTTTGCCTTTAGGGATTCTATAGTTTTAATGGAGCAAAGCTCAGCTTTAAACTGTTCTAGATACAGAAAGCTGTAAAGGTCTGGGAAGCTTGAACAAGCAAAACTCAGGCTGCTTAAATGACAATAAAATGGGAAATCTGAGTTTTAGGTAAATAAGAACTGTCATGCTGACCTTCTGGCAGTCAGAAAGTCTCTGAGGGCAAAGGAGGACTGTGTCAACAGAGTGTGCAATGGGGAAATAAAGTCCTGTACTTTATTCTAAGTACTAACTTCCTGCTTGCTTTGTTAGCAACAACCACTTTTCTTTTGTATGTAGACTCTTAGCATAAACGTATACTCTACAAACTGTAAAATTATACATGGTGGTGAACTACGACATTTTTAAATGTTTGAGATTGCTAAGCAATTGATAATGTCATGTAGTTTAGGCAAAATCCCTTTTTAGGAGTGGTGTATCTACTTAGTCAAAGCACAGTAACTCTTTGAAGAGTATGAAGTTGCCTAGTTGGATTTTTTATCTTGAGTTTTGCAGTTGACATACCTTTTTTGCTACATCTCCCAGTCCCTTATGTCCCTCTTGTAATACATATTTTGTTATTCTTTCTGAAAGGAAAAAAAATTATTATCGTTTTAGCAGATGTTATATGACAGAATGTATTTGCTATGGTGCTTTAAAAACTGCTTTCGTGCATTTTGCCCTATCTTGCTCTTTATAAAGATCATTGGTATTTTAGGAGAAAGGATTGTTTTCAATACTACAATAATGTTAAAATTTTTAATAAGCTTTTTAATAACTTTAAAAAGTTATTATTATAATACTGCAAAATACTGAAATTGCTGCTAAGTACAATTTTAGCAATGTGCTTGTTCTTTATGCCTTCTAATAAAATAAACAATCTGCTGGTAGATTTCTATTGGAGTAGGTAATTCGTGTTGCATTTTCTTGAAGTTCATATTGCCTGTCTCTAATTATGGAACTCTTTTCTTCTGTCTTAAGTCTGTCCTTTCTGTGGACGAAATGGTAAGTATGCTGATTGCCTTTTTTATGTTTAAGCAGTGCTTTTGTTTTGTGCAGCACCTTATATATATGTTAGCCTCAGAAACTGGCAAAGCAGATCTGGCTTGTTCCTTCTTCCTGTCAGTTGGCAAGATGCTGCGTAAAGAATTTTCTTTGCATTTTAGTTTTTCTTTTCTAATTTTGGTGCCTTCTTTCCTAAGTGTGTATGTGTTTTACTTATTAATGCCATAGCTAATTTGGGGTGATATCTGGCAGCTTGACATTCTGAAAGACTGTTCTGGCAGTATCTCAGAAAATGTTAAGGTGTTATACAATTTCTAAAGCATAGACACTCTACACGTCTATCAATGTAGTATGAAGTGTTCTGTGTGTTGTGGTTAAAAAAAAAAAAAAAAAGCCTGTCAGCTTTTCCTTGTTTTCCATTTTCTCAGTTCTTTTTATGGGCATGATTTAATATGATTTACTGGCTTATGTAACAGCCCGAAGTGCGTAAAAGTGAGGCAAAGTTAACTTTCATCTTTTGGTCTTTCACCTCATTAGTCAGTGTTTGCTTTTTGAAAAGCCATGGGATGGCTGGTAACTGTAGACTTTGATCTTCAGTTGCAGTTGCATTTTTGGTTTACTTTTTTTCTATTGCCAACAGAAAATGCATTTGCTTTATATTTTGCAGAACCTATGCAATGCAATACTATGAACACTAGAAAGCATGAAACTTTTATGTAACTTCCTCAGTTTTCTAAACATTTTTGAGACCTTTTATTTTTCATGTCTCAACAGCCTTTCCAAACAAGACATGTTGTTTCAGTACATCTTCAGAGATTCTGTATTGCAACCCTTTTGTTGTTGGTTTTTTTTGGTTGTCGTTGGTTTTTTTCTTTTTTAATTCATGTGGTGATCAATTTGAGACAGTCCAGAGAAGAATAGCTTCTGGTGTAATTTTCTACCTCAGTCACAGGACAATAGTCATAGTAATGGAGAAAATAGGAAGAAAAGAATTCTATGGGATTACATTGTTCCTCGTATTTTAGGTATAACATTTTAAATGAATGACTAAAAGCAATTCTACTTAGAAATGTAACATTTGGCGCTCTGTTTAAATTTAATTTAAATGACAAACCAAATTCAGAGAAAATCAGTGGAAAAATTCAGTCTTTATGGGAGTTTTTAAGCTGGCTACTTCATTTAAATACGGTAAAGTGTGCTGTGTGAAACTTGTTAGTGTAATCTAATACCTCGGGTTACTTCAGCAGTTCACTTTTCTGGGGGAGGTTGGAATTCTTCTTCCAATTCATATTTCAGATATATCAAGAAACTCATGTAACTCTAAAGCTTTTTTCTTAATAGAAAACAGGGCTGGTACATTCTAACAAATTATTGGCAAAGATATTATGAATTTTTGGTTTCTGACTTTTTATTCAGTCAATAAAGCATAAAAATATCCAGTGAGGAAGAAAATGGAGGTTTGGGTGTGAATAATGTACCTCCATATGTCTGTCTTAAATGCTAGTCTTTGTCTTTTAATGTCAGGTAAAAGATGTTCTAAAAGTGAGTATGTACACAAACAGGGGGCCTATACTATTGAGAGCACCTTGATGCAATATTGGCAATACGTACACAGCTAACTAAGTGTTACAGGAACACTGTACCTGTATACGGACTCTCCAGCTACTGTAAAGTGAGTGTTGTGTCTGGCCTGTGACCCTTCTCACCGTGGCAGAGGCAGCACAGTGTGTTGGCACTCTTAAATTCTTGTAATTGCCCTTTGGCTGCTGGCAGATGTGAAATAAAATAGCCTAAGACCATCATAATAATAGAGAATTGGTATAATTTTAGGAACCTCTGTTCTTGAAGTGCAGATTGATCAGGATTCTTGATTTAGGAGTGATCCTGCAGTTCAGAAGGAGATTTGTTGAAGAGTCATCTCGCAAGACAACCCCCAACCCAGAGGCCAGAAGTAGCTTTGTGTGACCTGTGTTCTAACATGCATGTGCAGTCAAACCTGATCTGAAACTGGGTTGGTATGGGAGTTACAGGAAGTGAAATGCCAGCGATTTCTAGTAATCTTTGTGCTGCTCCTCCTGAGCAGTATGCTAGGCAATTCTTGGCAGCCTTGTACGTATGGGTAATGTACTCTATTCATCTAACCTGATACAAGTATTTAACATATGAGGGAGATGATAGAGTCTTTCAAGTTCAGAGCTGACTTTCTGGCAAATAGCTATAAATGTTTACATATACCTGTTGTGAAAATACCTCTCTTTGGAAGGACAAGCCTTGCTTAATTTCTCAAATGTGGTAATATGGACCATATTCGTGGTTTTTGTATCCAGGCTTGGAATAGTGAATAAGCATATTCACAATTCAGTAACAGATTTGTCTTGCCAGTTCTGTAAATTTTTGTTTCTGTCCTATCGCTTCTTTAGTAGCACTTCGTGGTTTTATCTGCTTAGCAGTGTAATTGGTACAAGAACAAAGAACAGTTTTTTTCAGTACTGTAAATGTCTTCAGAAATGCATTATGGTGAACTTAGTTTTTATGGCTATTTCAGTTGACAGCTGTTTTTAAAAGGAAACAGTAGCAGATCCTACTGATTTCCTGGTTTGTGGCGGGGGGGGGGTTCCCCCACTTTGTAAAAGGGATATAAACCAAGATATAAAACATACAAGTAATCAAGCATGCCCTTCTTAAAGGAGATCTTGTAGAATAGCAATCTGAGCATGCTAATTCATTTCACTCCAGTGCTCTAGGTATTAGAAAAGGTAATGACTATGCGTTTTCTGTACATTTGGGATGGAGCACTGTAGGAGTAATTGTATTTCCGTAATTTTTTGTTCATGGGGAAGGAAAAAAAAAGATAGCTTGCTTAAAGTGTGGTTTTAAGGGGGAGGGGTGGGTTTTTTTAGTGTTTGTTCATTTTTTTTTTTTTTTTTTTTAACAAAGCTATTTTGCACTAATTTCTCTTTTAAGTTTGTCAGAGTGGGCATCTTCATGTGTAGAATCTCTGGCTTCATTTATGTGGTCTTCAGACTCTAATTGGAAGTGTCCCTGGAGAGACATTTCTCGGTTGATTGCATGAAAATAATTGTCATTTTAAGAACATACTGACTTACAGAATGTTTCCTTGGCATCCTATTAAAATACTTAAAGAATATTGTCAAGCTGAAATATTTAGTGGTTTTGCAGTAACTTTTTATGTTAAAAATAGTTTTCTCTCTCTTTGTATGAATTTCCTGTTTGAACATAGTAAGAAGTAGGTATGATATTCAGGCTGCTTAAATTTTGCCGCCTTTGTGTGACAGGAGGCGTTGCTGCTAATTTTCATCCATGGGCTTTGAACCAGTATATTCATTTTTGTGTTAAGGAGTTGTAAGCTGAATAAAAATCATGTCAGGAGCACAAAGTTGAATGCAAGTTCTCCTCTCTCCAGAGGGGGGTATGTGAACCACGAGCTGCAATGCTGGAGTCCCTGCTTTCATTTTTTTTCCCTGCATGCGTGTCTTGTACGCAGGAGAGTAATTTCAGATTGTGTGTGCAGAAACACTAAGTGCTCTTTCATTATTAACTTTGATAAAAGCTTTTCAACAATTTTATAGTTGGTTTTTTTTGTTTTTTTTTTTTTGTAAAGGAGAGAGAACTTGAAGCTAACAAGAAAGAAAAAGTGAAAGAAGCTCAGCTGGAAGCTGAGGTGAAGTTGCTGAGGAAGGAAAATGAAGCACTTCGTAGACACATAGCTGTGCTTCAGGCTGAGGTTTATGGAGCAAGATTGGCAGCCAAGTATTTAGATAAGGAACTAGCTGGAAGGTATGTGAAGTCAATCTGTGTCCCTTAGCATGAGATGGTTTTGTTGTTGTTTTCTTCCTTTGCGTCCCCAGAGGCAGGTCCAAAGTTAAGACTGAGTAGGAAAATTCTCACGTTTGCAGTTAATTGAACAAAAGGAAAAAACAAAAATCCCCACAGTTCTTGCACTTACACTAGTTGCTGCATGGCTGTATGCTGTAGCCAGATGAAGTGTATGAGTTGTACAGTGCATTGATTTTTCACTTGTAATATAGCATGTTGTTTTACTCTCTTTGTCATTACACAGGGTCCAGCAGATTCAGTTACTGGGCCGAGATATGAAGGGACCTGCTCACGACAAGCTGTGGAATCAGCTTGAAGCAGAAATACACCTTCACCGTCACAAAACTGTTATTAGAGCTTGTCGAGGTCGAAATGATCTAAAACGACCAATGCAAGCACCACCAGGACACGTAAGTTGAAAAGATGAACCATTCCTTCATAGTTTCCAGCATTTGTGGACAATAGATAGGAGTTATTTCTTCGTTTTTGTGGTTGTTTTCACTTCAATATTGTGTTCTTTCAAATGTAGCTTCTAAATATATGTAATTCTTTTGTATGCTGAAGGACAGTTTCATGCTGAATAGCATGTCCCCATAAATGAAGGACACAATTCCTTTGACTTACCTAACAACGCTTGGTCCTTCTGAAAACTGAGTGTCTGCTGTGTGTGTGTATAAATACAATTTTAAGAGCATAATTTTGTTACCTAGGTTTCAAAATGTGGAGCTAACTTATATACAAAAAAAATTTAACATTTTTAGGATTAGATTGAACTGAAAATAATTTTTAAAAATATTTTTAAAGGCCAGATAAATTGATACTGTAAAATAATTGATTTTTTTTTTTTTCCTTCCAAAAGGTACGTTTATTTTAAAAACCTTTTAAAAGGGATTGCACCGTGGGTAGCCTTTGTAGAACTCGCCCAACTTGGCATATGACCTGTTAATCACCCCAGTGTTCAGTATATAAAGCCAAACATTTTCAGGAAAGTGCTTTAGTTTCATCTGTTCTAAATACCTTAGTAGGTCAGCTGGGTCTTACTGCTTGTGTTGCTGACTGCATGTGAAATATTGGTGGACAAATACGTGTGTGTGTGATTTTAAGCATATGCTTAATGGCAACAGTAGCTTAACAAAAGCGAAATAAATACTTCGATTTATTTAATCTCCATTTAGTTTTGAGTTGAATGGCTTTTGGTCTGGTTTGGTTTTATAATAATAAAAATAAACTTTAGCAAGCATCCTCTTCCTTCGGACTGTATTACGTCATCTTCTATCATCTGGTTAGTTTTAAATTGCCGTTCACGTCATATAACTTTTCAGCGGTGATCAGCATTCCTTCATGTAGTCACTTTCTATTTTTAATATGTGGCTGATTTCCTTCTGTTGAAGTGTTGTGTTGTGTGTTACTTGATACTGAAATGATTGAAATTAATTACTCTCATCAGGAGTGCATAGTGAGGAATCTTTTCTGATTTCATACCCTGTCTGTAGAGGGGTGCTGTAAGTTTGTCCTGCCTGGAGCTAGTCTAAAACTCTGTTGCTGATACTCTACCTGTGTATAATTTTAAAAAACCCAAAATGCAGAAATGTATCACTTTTTTTTTGGTTCACGCCTTTATATTAATGCTATGTTTCTTTTTTATCAAACTAGGATCCTGATGCCTTAAAGAAGAGTCAAGGTGTTGGTCCGATCAGAAAAGTTTTGCTAGTAAAAGAAGACCATGAAGGACTAGGAATTTCAATCACAGTAAATACTTGCTTTTGTTTTCCGTGACGCAGAAGCAGCAATTTAGATTTGTATTTGTGCTTCTATAAAATACGTGGGTCAGCAAATGTGTTGTTAGAACATATGCAAAAAAGCACACACAAAACCATAGCTGTGGTCATAGAACTTGAAGACTCATTTTGATAGATTAGGAATAAATAACTGCTACTTTATGTAAAACTTAACAATTTCAACTCGTGTTTAGGGTATAGACACTTTAGCAGATTAGCCAGTGAGTTTCAGGTGTGGTAAGTCTGTAGAAGGGCAGAAGCAGTCTGAGAACCAACTTCCAAAGGTTAGCTGTTGCGATTGTAAGGTTTTTTTTGAAGTATTGGTGTTGGCTTCTCACACCCAACGAAAGCCGTATTAACTTTTTCCAACAAATTTTGAAAATTCTGACTGTTGCACTTTTATTGTAAATATGAAAGTTGTTTCTTGCAAGTCAATATGGTGCCTGATACACTTCTAAAATTATTATTATGACTTCTGTTATTATTCGGAATTGTCTCCTTTGACTCTTTGAGTATATGTTTGAAATTGGTCCGTTCTTTTGTGGGGAGAAGAAATAAGGGAAGCAATCTCACTCGTGTTCTTCTTAAGTATTCTTTTTGTCTGAAGCATGCTTTCTAATTTTCTATAGTAAAAGTTGAAATAAGCACTTGAAGAGCAACTACCAGAATGCTCATTTTATGCTAGTGGACATCTCAGGTAATTAATTTTTTTTTTTTTTTTAATAGGGTGGGAAGGAGCATGGTGTTCCAATACTGATCTCTGAAATCCATCCTGGACAGCCTGCTGATCGATGTGGAGGGCTGCATGTTGGTGATGCTATTCTGGCAGTAAACGGAGTTAATCTAAGAGATGCCAAACATAAAGAAGCTGTAACTATTCTTTCCCAGCAGGTCAGTTGGGACCTGTTACCATACGCGCATTTAGGTGCTTCATGTGTTCTGCCTATTGAATTACTTTGGATTTTAATGTTTACATTGAAATGTTTACAGTGTTACACTAAGCTACAGTGATTCCTGAAGCTGTATCACCTTATGCTTAATCCTCTTACGTTTTGCAATTTAAGGAGAAAAATGCTGGGTCACTACTAGTTCAGTTAACCCATATATTGGCTAATGATTCTTCAGGAAGGCCGATGGAAATCGGCTTGTTCTGTTGCCCCAGAGAAATAATTATGTAGTGACATACACTGTATTCTTCTATGACTGGACAGCTCCAGCCAAACAATGTTTCTTATATGCATTTGGTCTAGAATCTTCCTCGTGCCTTGCTTCCCCTTTTCAGACATTAACGGGTCTACCTAATGGATCAGAAAACTTCCTCATTAGAAGTCACGGTTTGAAATGTATTGGCACATAACTAAGAAATTCAGGTAACTTTGGTAAATCTTAACTGTAGAGCTGTACTTCTTTAGTCAGTAAAAACTTAATTCGGATACATATCCGAAATATTCAACACAACTGTAAATGTGTTTACAACAGTAAAATGTATTTGTTTTAGTAACCTAGCTCATCTCGTACTAATCCTAGTGCAGTAGTACGTAAATTTGTAATTTTCGTTGCATTTTAGAGAGGCGAGATTGAATTTGAAGTAGTGTACGTTGCTCCAGAGGTTGATTCGGATGATGAAAATGTAGAATATGAGGACGAGAGTGGACACCGTTACCGTCTGTATCTTGACGAATTGGAAGAAGGTGCAAATTCAAGTTCTAATAGGAAAGATGCCAATGTGGATGTCAAACCCTCACAAGGTAAACCTTCTAAAATGTGTTACATGCAGTTTAATTCTGAAGTCTGAATATGCAAACCAATTTCTGGAAAACACGGTCTTTATATTAATTGTAAAATTAATCTACTGTTAATTCAATTAACCTACTGGTAGGCTGTCAGTTCTTTTGGTTGGTCCCTCACTTGTTGGCCTGGTTTACTTAGATACAACTGAATTAACTGAATTACTTTGTGGGGTTTTTTTTGTGATTGCCTCTTCCCAAGGGTTCAAATTTATTCTTATCTTTTCCTGACTCTGGTCTAGGAGTATTTAATTCCCCTTAACATGTTTATGTTGTTGGCTTCTTCAAATACATTTTTTTTAGATCAGAGAGGTATAGAAACAGTTCCTGTTTTCCTGTTATACTGTGTTCTTCTAAAAACCTATTCGCTGTTACTGTAGTAGTCATTTCAGCACACTTTCTAGTTTCTGAAATAAGGTTCTCTGTCCTTCCCAAGATTGCTTCCTTAAATAAAATTTCTTTTTAACTTGCAGTGTTTGATAAGAAGGCAAGTATTGATGGACATGAAAATGGAGACGTGGGGAATTCGGTTGAAGCTCCATTAGAAGACACTGCACCCAAATTAGGCCGTTCTGCTGAGTCTTTATCCTAAAAACAAAGAAACAAAAAAATCAACTGGACAGATCCCATGTTTGGGAACAATTGATAATCAATATTGACTGCTCCAAGTTGCATATACTAGTGTAGGTTGTTAAAAGGTGATCAAATGTCAAAGGGAACTGTATTACTGTTGCCTGGAAAAAAGGCAGTTACCTCAGGGCTTCGTTGTGAGCAATTCTAAATGTGGAAAACTGTCTTTTCCGTGACACACAGTAGTTATCTAACACATGGCATGTGACATGAATTTTCTTTTAATAATAAGCACCAAAGCATGGGATTTCTAAAAAGGATAACCTCAATACATTCAACTTTTAATCTCATTGATGTCCCCAGGGAAGTCAAATAAGATGTGGCCAGCTTCATTTGGACCCTTTGATGTTTTTAAAGGGACAACTGATGTTCAGTTTGGTGTGAAACAAGCTTTAACTCTAGGAGGATGGGGGGGAGGAATTGTACCGTTGTATCCATGAGTTTTGTACTTAGGATTTTTGAACTGCAGCTTTTAAAAAAAGGCTTTTTTTTTTTTTTTTTTTCTCTCAGAATAGTAAAAACCAGAGCTTTTATTTGAGCAAAGACCATCAAAACTGAAATGGGACAGTAGGGTACTTGCTAATCGTGATCCTTCAACCCATGGTTATTTTATGAGTGAGATTTTTGGCATTGTTTTAATAAATTCACTGCCAGTTATTCCACTTGAAACTTGCTCCAAAAGTAGTTAAACAGGGTATTATGGGGTTTTAAAAGCAAAATCAGTTTTAAAAATACTCGAAATTACGTGGGCCCTTTAGTATTTTTCCTCTGAGCATCATCAGTTTAGAGTTCATTCTTGAATGGCTATGGTTACTGCTAATGCGGAGTGGTTTGAGTTGGTCATCATCACCTTGGCCTTATGAAATGCTGAGTGCTTTTGATAAGTATGGAACATACTAATTTCATATTAAAATAGTCTTTAAAGAAGTGAAAGTTGAGAGTGCACAGTACTTTACAGGAGGTGCTCAGTATCATACAGTGTCTGGCCTTATTTGTTATGTTCTGGCAGTCGTATTAACCTATAATGTCTTACTGTTGGAACAAAACGTTTCTCCTTTTGTAAGAGCAGTGTATCTTAAAATAGCTTTTGACTGGTGTACACCTAAAGGCCCACGGCGTGGCTGCAAATGGGAATGTTGAGGATGGTTTCCTGGCCAGTTTCTCATACTCCATTTGTAGGTCTTTAGGTGAGGTGCAGCACTCTCCACAGGCAAGCTCTACATTGTAATCACATGTATTACTTCAACATGCAAAGCTGGCTTTCCTGTTCGCTGCTTTGCAGGCTGGTGAACCGTAATGTGAAAAGATAAGATTTTGTACATTGAGAGAGGAACTAACGTGAGAAGACATCTTTAAAGTGTTACTGTGTAGGATGTACATACATAAGAAAAAACCTCAAAGGCCTTTAGAGTAACATCAACTAATCTTATGTTCTAAATTGTGATGTAGAACACAGTTACTTGTCTCTCCTAGGAGCACTATATATATATATGTTTATAGAAAAAGCCTAAAAATGTATATACTTTATTCAAAGATTTTGCTATTTATAAATCCCTTCACTTCGCTATTTACGTGAGCGTTTTGTGTGTGTGTGCGTGCGCGCATGAGTTCCACTTAAGCAGTGGAATAACATTATTTGGTTTATTTTTTATAATAGTCTTTGTCATACAGCATACTGTTGAAGGTTTTTAAACGAGTCAAAGCTGTACAGTTTTCACCAAACAGAAACTAGTACTTATAAATAAAGCTGTGTGAAGAAGAAACAGGTCCCCAGGCATGTTTCTTTTTCTGAAGCTTCAGAAACTTGAGGACACGTTGGCTGCGTGTTAGCAGATGAATCCACTGCCATAACTTTGCACCCAGATTTGTGTCTTTTCCTACAGTTACTCAAACAGAACGCGCTCTGAAACTGTCTGTGGCCTGGAACGCTCAATGTCCTCTTTCTCAGAAAGGGTAGTTCCAAGCCAGGTAGTGATCTTCTTGTCTTTTCAAATTCACCGCTGTGTGAAATCTTGCTGCAATTGTAAGAAATGAGATTCGTCCAGCTAGTCTAGTGACTTTTAAAGAAGGCATTAGATTTGCCTGTACGGTTTCCCTTTATTTGAGGGAAAGGTGAAATTTTTAATTTATTTGTTCTTCCTTACTTCTTGGCACACCTTATTTTCCACTTAATGCTTTTGATCAGTTTTAGCCTGAAGTGTGAGGATGTTTCTAGAGTTATTTTCCCAACATTCCTTGCCCACCAGTTTCTCATGATACTGTGCTCTTTTCTTCATCTTCTGGAAGTTGCTGGACCCTCTCTCTGCTCTTCCTTTACCTATTTTTAACCTATACATGAGATTAACAGAAGGAACAATTGCTGAGGAAAATGACTAGGAGTAGACAAATCAGGTAGCAGTAAATTATCACCAGATTTCCTTCCCTGCAGTTTTTATAGTCTTTGTTTAGAAAGCCCTGAATGGGAGGATTTTGCTCAGACACTACAGTCTGTCTCCATGTACTCCATCCTTCATACCAGCTGATCTAACATACTGGTTTATTGTAGTCATGCTGGGATGCTTAGAGGTTAATATTTAAACTGAGAAACATTTTGCAAGTTGGGATTTCCAGATTCAGTAGACAAATGTGTATTCTCCCCTTTGTCAGTAACTGGAAGACTCAGTCCTGCTGATTCCCAGAGGTTGGATGAATTAGACGTGGAAGAATTTCCGAGAGAAGTCAGTATTCGGACTTCATTTTTATTTTTAAAAGTGTAAAACTGTTTACTTGTGTGTGTATATATATTTTTTACTTAAAAAAAAAATAAAATAATATTCTGAAGATAATTTTGCTATTTTTTTTTTTTTTTTTTGAGTAGATAATTCCTTGCCTATTAAAAAAAAAAATCTTTAGTGAGACAATTGTATTTTAAGCTAGAGGAGACATAATGTGGCTTCTGGGACCAATGTTAATTAAAAGCATGTAAATTAAGGACAGTGCTTTATGGCAATAAATTTAACTCTGATCAAAGGCTGTATGTAGTATTTCCTTTGTACAAGTGTATTCTTGGCAGCGACGACGGTTTATATCCGTCTCAGTATATGTTAATGCACAGTTGTATCAAACAAAATTCGGGTATTTATTGTATCTGTCCAAACATTATTACATCATGGATTACTCTCATTTCTGTAGCAGATAGAACATTTGCAACAAATGTATACATCTAGTTAATCTGAATATAATATATTTTTATTACCCTGTAAATAAATATACTCTTCTGCAGTGATTTCTGCACCTAATTCAGACTGGTATTTGATGTTCTTCTGGTTTTATACATAAAATACAGGCATCTAATCCTCTGCATCATCGTTTTCTGTTAAGCATGTAGTCCACACCCAGCCAAAAAGTTGGTATGAGGAAAACCAAACCCATGTAACACGAAGTTTGACACTAATCCAGTCTTGGCCAGCAATGGTTCATAGCAAAGTGTGTGTTTAAAAAAGATAGAGCTATAGGATTTCATTGAGATGCTTTTTCTGCTGAATGTTTTTCAATAAATACTTGGAGAGTTTGGTTGTGTAATAATACCAAAAAATATTCTGAAGCCTTTGGCTAAGAAAAGCTATAAAGACCCAGACCTGTCAAAGGATTAAGTCATTTGAGTAAAATTGTGGAAATTGGCTTTTTTCTTTTTTCTGTCTTTTGTTTGTTTGTTTGTTTTCTATGCATTGGGAATAATAAGTATATTCTGAGTTTTTTCACTGAAGTTACAAAACACTTATCTTTAAGTTACCATTTTTAGTCCTGATATTAAAGTCTTTTTGTTCAGATTAAGTATCTGTTTTGTGCTTTAAATTGTGTTTTTTAAAAAAATCATCTCTTGCCTATACTTGAATCTTGCCCTAAAGTGTCAAGCTCGTCTGGATGAAGAGAGAGCTCAAATGAAAGGTAATGGTATGGTAACTGTGGTAGTACTTACGGATTTATTGAGAATGTGTGCATAGAGAGTAGAAGACTGTGAGGGTAGGAACTGTCTCAGTAGACAAGGCCGAGTCATGTAGGGTGAAAAGATGTGTAGTACACAGTTGGTGAGGGCTAGAACTGCAAGCACTTATTTTTTAGCTCTATAAAATTTTTAGAAGGGTTTAGATACGGGTGACTTCAGATGGAAGGAAGAGGGAAAGGAGAGAAAACTTCCTTGAGCTGTCATGAAACAAGCAGAGGTTTAGAGGCAGCAATGAATGAAGATGAAAACTGATGGAAAGAGGAGGAAAAAAACCCAACTTTGTCAGGTGGAGTCAAAGAATATAATTAAAAACTTTGTGTCCTACTGCCCGACTGGAGGACCTCAGAGGCTGCTCCCAGGGACGGTGGTCACTGAATACTGCTCTGCATTTTTTTCCCAGAGATCCACACATGACGGAAGAGAAGAGAAACATGTCCTGATTCAGGCTATGTGTAAGGAGTCCCATTTTTGCTGTTTAAAATCCTCAGGTCAACAATGTGAAAAGGAAGTTACCTAAAATATTTCAAGCTTGCCTTTTGTCCAGAGTGTGTGTTTTCCAACACAACGTGATTTCCAATTCTTTAGAAACTTGGAAGTTTCAGAGTTGGAAGGGAACTCAGGAGTTGAGAAGTGGCAAACATGATGACTTTGGAAGAAAAATACTCAACTTCTTTGGTTTTTCTTTTCTCAACAAAGCAGTTGTTGCCTGTTAGGCTTCAGAGTAGCCTTGCCTGACCTGTGTTTGCCTGGTGTGCCCCTGTCACAGATGTGTTTTGGTATCTGCTCCTGATGCCCACACCTGTACTGTGCGGGACACAAACAGGGCTTCTAAGCCAAATGCCTGAACAAGGCCAAGTGGGATTTTTCAAGGGTTTTCCCTTTTTGGGGAAAAATTGAAGTCACTTGCGTAAATTTTTCACATACTTTACAAGTGTTTAATTCAATCAGCTGTCAAAATTATTTGGTGTCTCTCTGTTAGCCTTCTGTTTAGTGTGCTGAGACTTGTTTCTGCTAGCGGTACCCAGGGGAAGCATCAGAGCTGCCAGGGTTTTGAAGGCTCTGCAGGAGGATGATCTTCCAGTCCCCTGTAAGAGGTATGAGAGAAGTGCATTGATCCTTGGAAAAAAAATCCAGGAAAACTGGTTAAAATTGTGCTGTTTTGTCTTTGTAACTTTCGACTGGAGATCGTGATTGCATTTCCCTCATTAAGTTTTTGGCACTCCATATTTCCTCAAATTTCCTTTACTGAAATACAGAAGTACTGCTCTTCTGAACTGCAGCCTGAGCCATCTCCCCAGCTTCCCCTCCATCAGTTGTGGGGCTGTCATCTGTCTGCTGCCTGGTTTTCTGTGGCTGGGTCTCAAACAGGAGGTTAGCAAAATGTAAAAACACACGAAGTGAAAGTAGAGGCATTCACAGACATGTTTTGATTGCCTGTAGTGCTGGAAGTCAGGGGCGCTTGGGAGGCATCTAG